TATCCATCCTATCCGTGCTAAAGGGTTTGTGATTTTGCTAAATTAAGTAATTAAGGAACTTGACGACTCTCTTCCTATCTGTGAGATAGATTCAAGTAGAGATTCAATTAAACTAGACAGACTCAGGACTAAAGAGTACGGAAAAGTTCAGATATGATCCATCATAATTAGATCAGGGTTCAAGAACTTAATTTGAAGTAAGCGTAGGGTTGGTAATCAGATATTATGAGAATAGGGTAAGATATCCGTTGGTTTGACTTCGATGGTTATTCTAATTTTGTCATTAAAAGTAAAAAAAAATTCTAAGGTTTTGAAAAAAGTTTGCTTATCTGTCTTCTAGTCTATAAACCTACCTGATAGGTCGGAGTAGAAGTCTTAAAACCTACCTGATAGGTCGGACTAGTAGTCTTTAAACCTATCTGATGTACGGACTAGTAGTCTTTAAACCTACCTGATAGGTCGGACTAGTAGTCTTAAAACCTACCTGATAGGACGGTCTATATATTAAACCTACCTAAAAGGAAGGACTAGTAGTTAAAACCTACCTGATAGGACGGTCTATATATTAAACCTACCTAAAAGGAAGGACTAGTAGTCTTAAAACCTACCTGATAGGACGGTCTATATATTAAACCTACCTAAAAGGAAGGACTAGTAGTATATAAACCAACCTGCTGGGACGGAAAAGTAGTAAATAAACCTAATACCTTACAGGACGGTCTAGTAAGCTAAGAAATTACCTGGTAGGACGGAATATTATTCTATAATCTACCTGATAGGAAGGAGTAGAAGTAAATAAACCTACCTGATAGGACGGACTAGAAGTAAATAAACCTACCTAATAGGTCAGACTACATAGTAGTATATAAACCTACCTAATAAGAAGGACTATTAGTATATGAACTTACCTATTAGGACGTATTAGTAGTATATAAACCTACCTGAGCCCGCGATTAAAAAAATCCGGGAAAATAAGGCTCGAGTCTAAGCTGTTGTTGGGCCTTATTTACGGCTTGAGCTTTCGGATTCCAGCTGCATCTTATTTTCCACAAAGTTGAGTTCAAAAAGCCGGTTTAATATTCTATTTGGCGGATTTTCATGGTAGGAATTGGCGCATTCCTGGTTTTAATGAGAACAAGACTCAAAATTGAGCCTCATTCTCCACTAAAACCAACCAAGGTCGGTTTTATTTTCATTGGGCCTAATTCCTTAAGTCGAGCCGAAGATCTTGCAGCTGTCATATCACGTGACACAAACTGTCGTCAGAGTTGGGTCTAAGATTGGGTCTTAATGTCGTGTTTAAGGAATTACGGCTCGAGCCGAAGTTAATTAATCGCGGGCTCTAGTAGGAAGGATTAGCAGTATATAAACCTACCAGGTAGGACGGACTAGTAGTATATAAACCTACCTAGTAGTCTAAAACCTTTCTTATAGGACGGACTATAAATCTATAAACCTACCTGATAGAACTAACTAAAATTACCTACCTGATAAGAAGGACTAATTTTGCCTACATTATAGGACGTACTAAAACACCTACCTGATAAGACTGATTTGTAATGCCTACATGATACCTTCCTATTATAGGACTAGTAATATCTACCTGATAGGAGGGACTAGTAATATCTACCTGATAGGAGGGACTAGTAATATCTACCTGATAGGAGGGACTAGTTGTATCTACCTGATAGGAGGGACTAGTAATATCTACCTGATAGGAGAGACTAGTAATATCTACCTGATAGGAGGGACTAGTAATATCTACCTGATAGGAGGGACTAGTAGTATCTACCGGATAGGAGGGACTAGTAGTATCTACCTGATAGGAGGGACTAGTAGTATCTACCTAATAGGAGGGACTAGTAGTATCTACCTGATAGGAGGGACTAGTAGTATCTACCTGATAGGAGGGACTAGTAATATCTACCTGATAGGAGGGACTAGTAATATCTACCTGATAGGAGGGACTAGTAGTATCTACCTGATAGGAGGGACTAGTAATATCTACCTGATAGGAGGGACTAGTAGTATCTACCTGATAGGAGGGACTAGTAGTATCTACCTGATAGGAGGGACTAGTTATATCTACCTGATCGGAGGGACTTGTAATATCTACCTGATAGGAGGGACATTGAGTATCTACCTAATAGGAGGGACTAGTAGTATCTACCTGATAGGAGGGACTAGTAATATCTACCTGATAGGAGGGACTAGTATTATCTACCTGATAGGAGGGACTAGTAGTATCTACCGCATAGGAGGGACTAGTAATATCTACCTGATAGGAGAGACTAGTAATATCTACCTGATAGGAGAGACTAGCAGTATCTACCTGATAGGAGGGACTAGCCGCTCTTTTCTTTATCTGAAAACTGTGAAGTCCAAAATCACTAGGAATAAGAACTCCGTCCCTGGATGGTCCAATAGCGGAGAGAAACACTGGAGGAGACAATTCTACCCGGATCATTTCTGACACAGTCTTCTCCCTGAACAGTTCATAGTTGTTATCCATCCTATCCATCCTATCCATCCTATCCTATCCATCCTATCCATCCTATTCATCCTATTCAGTCTATCCATCCTATCCATCCTATCCATCCTATCCATCCTATCCATCCTATCCATCCTATCCATCCTATCCCCCCTATCTGTGTATTGCAATGTTAATTTTGCAATGCAAATTTAAACACTTAAACCTCTAAAATGGTTTCTGAATCTAGATTTATTATTCTTCTAAACTTCAGAAAATAATTTTTCTCTCTTGCTAATTTATATTTTGAGATGACAAACACTTTTTAAATTTGAAACTAACACCATATATCATCCTTCTTTTCACTTGATAATATTGAATGAAAAATACCCTGCTCTGGTTTAAATTGAAAATACATGAGGATAAAAAACAGGATTATGTTTGTTTAGTAAAATAAACCATGGATTCTTTCAGATAAAAGGTATTTCACAAGAAATAAATATTAAAGGTTTGGAGTGGGGGGATGGGGGGCGGGGGGGTTATGTACAAAGGAATTTTTATAGCCACAAACTTGAATTTTCTAAGCCCAATATCTTTGAAAACAAGTAAACCTTTGATATTTCAAACTTCGATTATTTGATCCATCAAAATTTATGGTTTGAAATATCTAAGGTCTACAACTTCAAAACATTGTCTTGCAAAGATATAGGGTTTAGAAAACAAGAGTTTGTGTCAAAGAATCAATTCCTTTGACTGTGATGTATTAGGACTGCTAGGAACCAGTATTATTAAATCAATGACAAAGATTGTAAACAACGATCGGAACTTTCATTGAAGGCGTGAATTGTCGAGCTTGTTTTTTTAAATGTTGTTTATTTAACTTAAACCAGTTTCAGAAAAGAGGTTCACGGACAGCTGTAGTACATTTGAATTTACGAGCCGGGTCAACCTTTCCGGTCCCAGTTTGTACTGTACCGTATAGACATTGGCTTAATAAAGCAGACAATCAACAGGACTAGCTGGTGCAACAAGGTTGACGCGGTCAGACGTATGCTTCATATATGCTGAATTTACTTTTACTAAAGGGGCAGAGGTGCGTGGGTTATCGTTAAAAGTAACGACTAGTTCAACAGTAGTCAAACCTACCATACATGGTCTAACTAACACAGTAACTTACAATTCTGGTCATACGGTATTTTTAAAATTATAATCGCCATTTTGATTTTTGAGGAGAATTTTCTATGTATAATATAAGTATTTTCTTAATTATGAAATTGAGATTTATGCTCAAAATCGTTTCAAAGAAATTCGAATAGGTGATATGTACGAAAATACAAATCGCGGTCAAGGTTGTTTATGTAAACAGCTGGGAACTTTAGAATGGAAACCTTTAATCACGACTGCTTAATCCGAATATCCTATGTGGACACTTTTAATTTCTTGCTTAATCCACTCTTTTTTGGATATAGTACAGAAAAATCAAAAACTGTTTTTTTTCAAAATTAGGGAGTCCCTCCGTTTCTGTATGTCAATCTTAAATGGCGCGCAAAATTTCTAACTTCCCACCTTTTGATACGCGACTCTGAATGGATGAATTTTATACACTTTTCAGGATACAAGTACAAGATTAGGTACGTCTCGAGATTAAGAAAAGGAGAGGATCAAGCATTAATCTCAATATCCACCATTCCCAGCTATCTCATATTACAATTTTGATTTTAGAAAATGATTTAAGAATAATTCTAAAGAAATGTTTGTTTCTTAAAATAGCTTTGTCTTAAACCTTAATACGACACTTTTAGCGCCGAAAAGGTTCAGGTTTCTTTATTTAAAATACAGTTGTCTAATTTGTATTTTTCCTTCCTTGCAATTTAGATATTTTCTTGCAAATTCTAACTTTTAAAAATCCATTCAATAGTCACACACAACGTAGTTGTTTTATTTTTGCAATATAATATACGTAAAGTTAAATTATCCTCCTGACTCATTGATAAGTTTAATCATTTACCTAGATCCTTCAGGATATCTTTTGCTTGTTATTTAATATTTTCAACCTCTGACTTTCTATATTTTGCATATTTTGCATCAGAAAAAGGAAGAAAATTGAAGGAATTAACATTTTTTTCTCATAAAAAAACGCGTTATCCTCCTTCTTGTTGCTCAGATGCAAAAAAATGTAGAAAATATTAGAAATCTTTTATCTGACAATTATTTTAAATTTAGAAAGAATCCTTCACGGTCGGTTGAGAGAAAAGTAAAGAGTTATTCTTGCAGGTTTAAGATCATCTCTAGGGTTAAAATCATCTCTAGCTGATCAATATAATCTCTAGGCTTAAGATTATCTCTAGGTTGAAGATCATCTCAAGGTTCAAGATCATCTCTAGGTTCAAGATCATCTCTAGGTTCAAGATCATCTCTAGGTTCAAGATCATCTCTAGATTCAAGGTTGAAGATCATCTCTAGGTTCAAGATCATCTCTAGATTCAAGATCATCACTAGGTTCAAGATCATCTCTAGGTTCAAGATCATCTCTATGTTCTTGATCATCTTTTGGTTCAAGATCATCTCTAGGTTGAAGATCATCTCTAGGTTCAAGATCATCTCTAGATTCAAGATCATCACTAGGTTCAAGATCATCTCTAGGTTCAAGATCATCTCTATGTTCTTGATCATCTTTTGGTTCTAGATTATTGTGTAGTTTAAAGATCATCTCTGGGTTCAAGATTATCTCTATAGATTCCAGGTCATCTCTAGGTGCAAGATCAACGCTAAGTTCAATATCATCTCTAGGTTCAAAGTTATTTCTAGGTTCTAGATTATAAATTAGTTTTAAGATCATATCTTGGTTCAAGCTCATCTCTAGATGCAAGATCAATGCTAAGTTCAAGATTTTCTCTAGGTTAAAGATTATCTCCAGGTTCAAGATTATCTCTAGGTTAAAGATTATCTCTAGGTTCAAGATTATTTCTAGGTTCAAGATTATAATGTAGTTTTAAGATCATCTCTTGGTTCAAGATCATCTCTAGGTTCAATAGCATTGCTAGGTTCAGATATGATCTCTAGGTTTGTTACGCGAGCCATGCTCCGTAAGTAAAGTTTATGTGATGCCCCTGTGAAGTTCTGAGTTCACCCTGTATATCTGTACAGAAAAAAGGTCGGAAAACTAGTTTGAGAAACTGTATACGGACTTCCTACGCATGCGCAAGATTCCTACGTTGGAGCGGACAGATTCTATTCGTATTAATTAGTTATAAACCGTTTAAGTGTATTGATAATGTAAACTGTGCTTATAATTCTGGGATCACTGCGGTAAGATTCCTTTTTATATATATAAATACCTTATGATTTGTGTTTTCATGGATTTGATGATTTATAATGTAGTGTTGTTAGTTCCGTTCTACAGTTTTTTAATGCTTGAATTGGTTCAGTTGTATCATATGTTTATGAATTCAAAAGCTTTTTTCTGTAGTCTATCTAGTTTTATTTTTGCTAGATTGAAGTCTTCACGAATAAAGAATCGGAACTTATCCTGCTTGTCTTTTATTATGGAGAGTGGTCAGAAGATGAAGTCTTACAATCCAATCCTGAGAAATACCGCACGGTACTTATAAAGCCTTCATAAGGTCTTTAGGAAAAACGCGCAGTCGCGTAACAAGGTTTAAGATTATCTCTGTAGGTTCAAGATTAGACTTACTAATTCTAGCAAAATATTCATCTATTTGCCTAAAGAATAGACTTTAGAATAGATTGAACTGTATTGTGTATGTTCTCCAGGTCTAAAGTAAATATATATGAAAGTTCTCCTCCACCATGAGTTCAAGATTAAACCTTGAGCACAATGCAATCTTGTATTTATGGGAGAAAGTGTTCTAAATATCTAAAAGGAATATTATCAAGGTGCCTTCATTTCCAGTTTTCTTTACACATTTCTGCAAATGTTTTTATTTTATCCAATAGTATGTGACAATTTACTCCTAACCTATCTCTAGACAGTTTTCCTAACCTAGCCCTAGACGAGGCACTCTACTTCTAACCTATCTTTAGATGAGACACACTACTCTTAACCTATCTCTAGATAAACCAGATTAACCTGAGACACTCTACTCCTAACCTATCTCTAGATAAACCAGATTAACCTGAGACACTCTACTCCTAACCTATCTCTAGATGAACCAGACTAACCTGAGACACTCTACTCCTAACCTATCTCTAGATGAACCAGACTAACCTGAGACACTCTACTCCTAATCTATCTCTAGATGAACCGGACTAACCTGAGACACTCTACTCCTAACCTATTTCTAGATGAACCAGACTAACCTGAGACACTCTACTCCTAACCTATTTCTAGATGAACCAGACTAACCTAAGACACTCTACTCCTAACCTATCTCTAGATGAACCGGACTAACCTGAGACACTCTACTCCTAACCTATTACTAGATAAACCAGATTAACCTGAGACACTCTACTCCTAACGTATCTCTAGATGAACCAGACTAACCTGAGACACTCTACTCTTAACCTATCTCTAGATAAACCAGATTAACCTGAGACACTCTACTCCTAACATATCTCTAGATGAACCAGACTAACCTGAGACACTCTACTCTTAACCTATCTCTAGATAAACCAGATTAACCTGAGACACTCTACTCCTAACATATCTCTAGATGAACCAGACTGGCTTGAGACACTCTACTCCTAATCTATCTGTAGATGAACCAGACTGCCTTGAGAACACTCTACTCCTAACCTATCTGTAGATAAACCAGATTAACCTGAGACACTCTACTCCTAACCTATCTCTAGATGAACCAGACTGCCTTGAGACACTCCACTCCTAACCTATCTGTAGAAGAACTAGACTGGCTTGAGACACTCCACTGACACTCCACTCCTAACCTATCTCTAGATGAACTAGACTGACTTGAGACACTTTACACCTAACCTATCTCTAGATGAACTAGACTGACTTGAGACACTCTACTCCTAACTTATCTCTAGATAAACCAGACTAACCAGAGACACTCTACTCCTAACCTATCTCTAGATAAACCAGACTAACCAGAGACACTCTACTCCTAACCTATCACTAGATAAACCAGACTAACCAGAGACACTCTACTCCTAACCTATCTCTAGATGAACCGGACTAACCGGAGACACTCCACTCCTAACCTATTAATAGATGAACCAGACTAACCTGAGACACTCTACTCCTAACTTATCTCTAGATGAACCGGACTAACCGGAGACACTCTACTCCTAACCTATCTCTAGATGAACCGGACTAACCTGAGACACTCTACTCCTAACCTATCTCTAGATGAACCAGACTGACCTGAGACACTCTACTATCTGCAGATGATGTTTAAGCATGTTAGAAGGAAGAGAGCAGTTAAGATGAGCAGCTAGTTTTACAGCGTAATGCACCGGATCCTCTACCATAGACCACGGAGCTGCTCCGGATCCAGACATTAAGATTGCACGCTGGAACAATCCTTAACACATAATCGTTAATATTGAGAATTAATCTCGATATCAAATTTGGGCACTTTTAAATTTGAGGATCAACGCATGATGTTTTGACTTTGAAACTCAAAACTTTGTAATTAAAATTGATACATTCTTGTAGTCCCTTATTCTGTCATAGCCGTAGAACTCTTCTAGTTCATCCTAATGCCCTCTCTCTCAATTTTCATTTCATTTCAAAATTTAAGAATATTCCTTCTGTACCTTCTGTAATTTGAAGTTTTGTAATGTATTGTACTGAGTGCTCATGGGCAAATGGTAAGACAAGATTTTGGGACTATAGACCTAAAGGGGGCTTTTGTTTGTAAATAAAGTTAAAACATTGAAAACAGCCTTCTGAGTTATGTCCGAAAAGCGTGGGAGGACTTTTGTAGCTTTATTTGATGTAATGAGTTTCAATGATTATTATAAATCCTAATCTTTATCTGTCAAGTTGTAAATATTTGATATTTATGTCAAGAAAGAGGGATTAGTTTCAAGTTTTCAAATATGCAGTACAGTGCGAGTGGAGGGAGGAAAGAAGATTTAGAGGGGGTGGGAAGAGAAATTTAGAGGGGAGGGGGGAAGGAAGATTTAGAAGGGGGGGGGAAGAGAAATTATGGGCCTGAATTTTTAAGTAAACCTCTGTGCAATGATGTCAATGCCTTGAAAGCTTTTTTCTGATCCTAGATATCATATTAGATATCATATTAGATATCATATTAGATATCATATTAGATATCATATTAGATATCATATTTCTATTTGCTAAAAAATTATTATTTTCAATTTTGCGTTCCCTAATAAGAGTGACTTATGTATTGCAAAAAAAACAAAAAACAATTATTAGAACTAAACACTTTTAAACCTAGAAAAACAACAATATATTTAATCGGATATCAGATTGTGAATCAGACACTTGAAATTATGCTTGCAGTCCTTTTCAGGAGATACACAAGTTCAATTAAAATGGAATAAACGAGTTAGAATTGTATTTTAACTAAACACGGCTAATTCCAAGATGGACCCTCTTTCTGGGCGGCAACATTGAACGGAAACCCTAAATTATTCTGTTCTCAGTTCAGCTGTGAACAGATGAGAAAACATTGCTGGGATCTCATTAGAACAAGTAAACTTTTTATTAACTGTTGTTTTCTGGAACACTTAATAACTTCCAATCTTGAAGAAAGAAAAGATTTGAGGTTGGCAGTTTCTTTAAACTTTTATTTCTAAAATTCTTTTCATCGAAAAATTAATTGAAGCGGTCAAGAGGACAGCTAGAAAATGAAATATATCGCGAGGAAAACTGTCACCAATTAGAGAGGTTCAGGGTTGGGACTATAGACCTCTAATCCGACTCAGGTTAGACTTAAACCACCAATCCAAGTAATCAGTTCTTAGATTTATTTTCATTTTTATTCTTTCCACCAAAGCCTGATAGATTGAGTTTTCTTCAGGTTTTGTTTTAAAGGGAGTGTTCGCGAAAAATGAATAGGGGCTCACGGCGAAAAATAAGCGCATTTGATCGCTATTTATCTTACTTCTATCTGTTGCGTCTAATCTATAATAAAATTTGGCTTGCCTGTCTATTTGTCTGTCTGTCTGTTTGTTTGTTTTTATCCAATAAGCGTCAAAACGGCTGAAACGATCGGGCCCAAATTTTTTGTGGGACATCACGTGACCACAGGGAAGGTTTATGAATGATAAAAATTTGAAAAATGTGTTTTAAAGGTTTTTAATTTTGTAAAAAAATTTAGATTCTTGAAAATCCGCGATTTTTTTTTAAATCCGCAAAACTTTTTTTTTTTTTTAAATGTAAACAAAAAGAACATGTTCACAATTTAAATAGAAGATGGGCGCGAAGCCCCCTAAAAGCCTAGTGATTTAATATATTGATTAAAATATTAAATTTTATTACTTTCCGATTTTGCCTTTAAAATTCATGATAAACTACGAATATAATAGTTCACAAAAGGTGAAATTATCCTAAAAACTATAAAATCTAAAAAACTATATTTTCTGTAAAGAAAGAGAGAACGGTTAAATTACAAGCTATTAGGAAAATTACGTTGAATGAAAAGAGAACTGATGATGTCAATATCCCGACCTGTAATCTTTAAACCTCAGGCACATTATTTTCAAACTTTCTCCGCAACCTCCACAAGATTTTTTGCAGATTATTGTGCAATTTATTTTCCCTTTTGCTTAATTTTTTTTTGTAAAGTTGCAAGAGAAGGTTTAATGACTTTTACCATGGTTTACATTTTTGGGCTTTGGAGCTAATAGGTTTATGTCAAATTAGTTTTTCGGTAATATCAGACAAACATTTAATATATTTCTAAAGATTCATTTCGAAATACGCAAAAATTCCCTGTAATTAAAAAGAAACTTCGTCTTTTTTGCAATGTCAGAATGGAAATTTCACGCAATTTCAAGATAAAAAATATTATCTATTCAACTTATAAAACTCTATTAGGATCTTTTTGTGCTTTAAGCATTAAGCAAAAAGAGTTTTGCCAAATTAGTTCATTTGTAACATCAGAAAAACGCAATATAGTTGTGATTCATCTTCCCTTTTCCGCTAATATTCGTTTTAAATAAAAGTCGTCGTCTTACTAAAAATTACAATTAAATAAGTTTTTTAAATCTAAATTTTATTTTTTTAAAAGTAGATTTTTAAGCGAATTTCCCATATACTTGAAAACGATAACTGAGTTTTTTTTTTACAAAATTGTCCCCTTTTAAACAGTTCAGACATATTCTTCCTTTTTCTGTATTGGCCGCCCATCCCATCAGTTTTATGTGTTCTTTTTTATCCAAGTTTGTCGCTGGAATTGTTTTGACACGACAAGAATCGGATCAACTAAAATCAGAAACTATATAATACAAAGTTTCTCAACAGTGATAACAGATAAACAGCAGACTGATTGGCGGCAAAAATTACGATGCTTTTTTACTCGTGAGATGAAGAGTAAAGACGATATTTTGTTGTTTATTTTTGATCTCGGCACATTTAAATTCTAGTAACAAGGAAATTCAGGGTTTATGCAATATTAGAAAGACATTAAGACTTGAGCAAAGCACAGTTTAAGATAACAAACGATGAATGAGAACCGTTGTGAATCAAATATTTTTACAGTTTTATAGTTGTAAAATAAAAAAGAATTTCTCTTAAAATATTTTTCTATTTTCTTTCTTAATGTGAAGTCTATCTAGTCTAACACCAGATAACTGTCAGAACATCCAAATTCTCATCTTATAACAAATATGTCAAAATTCTATTCTTTGTATTTTCTCTCAAGCCCACTCCAATCTTGTAAAGAGGGGAGGGGTGAGGGGGGAGGGTCACACCTATACACCAGTAAATTACCCAAAATGATCGTTAATATTCTTCTACAGGTCCTACAGGTCCAATAATTTTTTATCTTAAATGGAAAAGTTTAGTTCGTTTTAACACAAGTAGGAATTTAAAACCTACTTGTTTAGATATTTGTACTTATATTATTATATTTTCACTATATCTTATTATCATAAATATTGTCATGATTAGCATTAATATTATTACTGTTATCAGAGTAATTAACATTATTATCATTTTTATTATTTCAAATCATGATTATCATTATTATAACTAATATCTTTATATAAAAAGTCGGAATTGTATTTATGCCAAACCGTAAATCTTAGAGAGATGTAATCAACAGAAAAATTGTGGCATTTGTACCTCTGGGTTTAAATTAATTGTTTTTAGACGGGAGCATTGGAAAGATTAGAAAAACCACGGGAAAAGATACTTTTTGAGAAATCATTGATTATTATCTTTATCATTTTTGAATATTATTACTATCATTTTTATTGTTCTTTTCATTTTATCATTTCATTATTATTGTCATTAATATTAGCTATTATTATTATTATTATTATTATCAGAATATACCTGCTACAGCTGCTGGTGACTCCATAAGGAAATGAATACAAGCTGCTCCTGTTTTATGTCCGAAAAGTGTGACTGCTCCCGGGTCTCCTCCGAACTGCTCAATATTCTGCTGAACCCATTTGAGAGCAGCAATCTGATCCATCAATCCATAGTTAGCCATTCTGGGATGCTGATGTGGAGCAGTGTTGGTGTTTAAAAATCCTTAAAAGGGGATTTTGGTTTAATTGTGAGTTTTTGCTTCAAACTCAGATTTGCTAATTTACTATATCTCTGAATCCGATGTTGGAGAAACCTTTAATATTTCAAACTATGAATTCTGTTAGATAAACTAGTCCAAGTTTGAAGTATTAAAAGTCTGCATCATCAGGTTGCAAAGAAAAAAGGGTTTCTAAAATTTTGACTCATGTTGCAGAAGAATACTACAGAATTTCTTTTTCAAAGGGACTGCACATTTGCTTCACATTTTAATCTTCCAATCCTTATCTAAACCTGATTTTGTCGACCATTTTATTTTTCAGAAAAAGTTTGAAATATTAAAGATTTGTAAAGATTTCATAATCGAAAAATTGCAGTTCGAGTCTTCAGTTCTTTTCCTTAAAGCCATTCAGGAAATGTAAATTTAAATTTTTTTTGGAAAAAATGAAATTTTTTTGATTATTTCATATCCCTAACAAAATTTAATAAATATTTGAATTGAATATTTATTTAAATTTTACGTTTCTTTTTCTTTTGATTTTCTTTATTTACTTTTAATAGAATGTCTGCCAAAAATATTTGGATTTTAGAAATTCAATTTATTTCTTAGTCATAACGGAAACCATAGATTTTTCTCCTGAAAAATGAAGAAATATGTAGGATTTTTTTACATCTTGAAAGTTAGTAACTTAAAAAATAATTGACAGCATTGACCGTAGTATAAGGGTAAAAACATAACATAACTCGTTCTATACTTAGAAGTTTAGGTTTTTCCTCATCCTTATGTCCTTAAGCATGGGCAGCCATACTACATTTGAATTTCCTAGCCGGGTCAACCTTTCCGGTCACAGTTTGTACTGTATCGCCTGGACATTGGGTAAATGAAGCAGACACTCAATAGGACTATAAGCCGGTGCAACAAGGTTGACGCGGTCAGACTTTAGGTTTGATTTACTTTTACTAAAGAAAGAAAATGTTTGTAGACTTGCAGAATTCAGTATATATTAGTTAGTGTAAGAATTTTCATTTTTGGGGGGGGGGGTAGCTCGGTAAAAGAGATAGGAAAGTGAGGCTTGAATAGAAAAATTATGTGGTTTGCCTTGTTTCCCTACCCTGGAACAGTTCTCGTTTATATTCAGAATCCAGGAATATGGAAAAGTGATAATATTTATTTTATTTAGTAGCATTTAAAAAGCATTCTAGAAAATCTTGTATTGCAAGAATTTTAGGTTTAAATTCTAAAATCACTCAGTGCCAAGTTTCTGCAGATTAAATATCATTTATTCATATTTTCAAAGTTTGAAAACCTGCACTTCGGAATACAAAGTTGAGAACTTATAAATGAGCGGAATGAATTAATGCAATGTTTTCCCCTCTGACTCTCCACTAAATCCTACAATTAATTCGGTCAGAGTACTGCAGATTACTGAAGATCACAGCAGTACGAACCAAAAGCTTGGTTTAGTATGTCTGGGGAGATTTTGATCCAAACCTTCTTTAAATAGTCTTTTTATTTAAGCGAAGATTGACCCAAGAGAAGATAAATAAGATATTGAGTGGTTGTCGAAAACGCTGCAAAACAATGTCGTAGATATTTTAAACTATAAATTCTTTACGATCAAATAATCTCATTTTGAAAATTCAAAGGTCGAAATCGAAAAGATATTGGAATTCAAAAATTTAAATTGTGACAAAATATTAATTTTTGACTGAATGTTAAACTGGTAAAGTAACAAGTTTTAGAAAACATTAGTGATATAAATCTTCCCTTATTTTCTTTTTGTTTGTAAAGTTTGTATTCATAGAAATAATTTGTTCCATTGCGATTAATTACCATGTTTCTTTTTACCCCTGGCCCTGTAAAGAATTTACATATTTGCATAATAAAATAAGAGATTGTTTAACCTGAGTAAAAATTAAACAGATTTTATTTACTTAGGGAAGGATTTTGCAGAAGTTTAAATCTGAAGATAAAGTTAAAGCTGAATTTAAATGTTAATTTTCAGTCTATTTCGTCATTATATTTCAGACTTTAAACATGCCATAGTTCTTATTAAATAATGTGCCATCATATGGTTGATCGTTTTGCTTAAAATTTTGATTGATTTGATTACAATTGCATCTATTTTTACTATTTAATATAGTATTTACAAACTCAAATATTTCAATTCAAACTCGACATTATTTGATTATTAAAAATGTCGCGGGTTTAAATTGCAGTTCTAGTTCTAGTTCTAGTTCTAGTTCCAGTTCTAGTTCTAGTACTAGTTCTAGTTCTAGTTCAAGTTCTAGTTCTAGTTCTAGTTCTAGTTCTAGTTCTAGTTCTAGTTCCAGTTCTAGTTCTAGTACTAGTTCTAGTTCTAGTTCTAGTTCTAGTTCTAGTTCTAGTTCTAGTTCTAGTTCTAGTTCTAGTAGATTTAATTTGCTTGGAATCTCGACATTTTTTTTAGCATTAAGCAATGATTTGCATAATAATATGATTTCAAACTATTTAGCAAGACTTTATTACTAGTCCTTACTCCTGTTAGTTATACAAGAATCTAGAACATTGAACTAATATTATTCAGAAAAATTAAATAAAATCAGAATAATTTAATTTTGTAAAAGGTCTGAAAGATGGTAAAAAATAGCCGTCCAGTCATAAAGTCAAAAATTAATATTTTCCAATTTTCCGATCAAGATTTGTTTACTCTTTTCTGGTTTAGATTTGTTTACTCTTTTCTGGTTTAGATTTGTTTACTCTTTTCTGGTTTAGATTTGTTTACTCTTTTCTGATTTAGATTTATCTACTCTTTTCTGGTTTAGATTTGTCTACTCTTTTCTGACATTGATTTGTTTACCCTTTTCCTAGCAAGGATTTATTAACTCTTTTCTGGTCTGGATTTGTTTACTCTCTGTAAGAAAGATTTGTTTACTCTTTTTCTATCTGATTTACTCTTTTTCTATTTGATTTACTCTTTTCGTAGCATTGATTTTTTTACTCTTTTCCTGGCATGGATTTGTTTACTCTTTTCTGGTCTGGATTTGTTTACTCTCTCTAAGAAAGATTTGTTTACTCTTTTTCTATCTGATTTACTCTTTTTCTATTTGATTTACTCTTTTCGTAGCATGGATTTGTTTACTCTTTTCCTAGCATGAATTTGTTTACTCTTTTTGTAGCATGGATTTATTTACTCTTTTCCTGGCATGGTTTTGTTTACTCTTTTCTGGTTTGGATTTGTTTATTCTCACTAATAGAGATTTGTTTACTCTTTTTCCATTTGATTTACTCTTTTCGTAGCATGGATTTGTTTACTCTTTTTCTAGCATGGATTTGATTACTCATTTCTGGTCTGGATTTGTTTGCTTTCTCTAATAGTGATTTGTTTACTCTCTCTAATATAGATTTATTTGCTCTTTTTCTATCTGATTTACTCTTTTTTTAGCATGGATTTGTTTACTCATTTCTGGTCTGGATTTGTTTGCTTTCTCTAATAGTGATTTGTTTACTCTCTCTAATATAGATTTATTTGCTCTTTTTCTATCTGATTTACTCTTTTTTTAGCATGGATTTGTTTACTCATTTCTGGTCTGGATTTGTTTGCTTTCTTTAATAGAGATTTGTTTACTCTCTCTAATAGAGATTTATTTGCTCTTTTCCTATCTGATTTACTCTTTTTCTAGCATGGATTTGTTTCCTCTTTACCTGGTCCAAATTCGTGTTTTTTCCATCCAGAATATATTGTCTAGGTGTAAAGGGTACCGTTGTGAATTGGGCATCCAACTCTTTAATTAGAGAGTCATGAAATGTTGAAGAATGTATAAACTAACCTAGAATACCGAGTCTATAGTTTATGGTGATAACGATAACTTTTCCGTGTACTGCGAGAACACGTCCGTCGTAGAGATTTCCAGATCCCCACTCGTAGGAATCTCCGTGTATATACACCATCACAGGATACCGCTCTACACCTTCAAGAGAATAATGTTAAAATCGATAAACATAAAGAAATTTATAATTTTTTAATCCCTAATTTCTAATCATCGCAACCCAATGTCGTATACCTTAAATATTTCAAACTTTAAATTCTATCAGATTAGATAATGTAAGCTTTAGCAATCTAAGGTTTACACCATAAGGTTGCAAAGGTATATGCATTAAGAACTCAGAACTCAGTCCTTGTTCTTACTTTTCACATCAAAACTGGATTTACATAAAAATGCTATTGAGTCAATCAACCATTTAGAGTCAACTATTCTGTATATTTTTAGTTCATCTTTTGCGATTTACAAACTCTATGTTGTCATAAAAATTCTGAGTTAAATCGACAAGTTTGGCACAAAAAAAAAGCTTACTTTTCTCTATATAGGGAACATAGATGTTTAGGTTTAAGCAATCCTCCGACTGTAAATTTAACTTCTCTACAGTTCTATTCTCCAGGTCTACAGGGAGTACCTATATATAGGATAAGGTTAAGAGGTCTATAGGGAGTACCTAGATATAAGATAAGGTTAAGAGGTCAACAGGGAGTACCTAGATATAATATAAGGTTAAGAGGTCAACAGGGAGTAAATAGTAAATAAGTAAAAAATGAGTACTTAGAATTAGTACAAAGTGCAGAACCAATGCTCAGATTCAGTACAGAATCAGTAATCATAATTAATATAGACTTTCAGAACACAAAATCAACACAACTTCAGTACTCAGAATCAGTATAAAGATCCAATAAAGGATTAGTACTAATTAGTACTTAGTGAAGAACAAATACTCAGAATCAGTACAGAAACATATTCACAATCCATTCAAAATCAGTACTCAGAATGTGCAGAACCATTAATCAGAATCATTACCGAAACAATACTCAGAATTCATTCAAAATCAGTACCAAGAATGTGCAGAACCATTAATCAGAATCATTACTGTAACAATACTTACAATTCATTCCAAATCAGTACCAAGAATGTGCAGAACCATTAATCAGAATCATTACCGAAACAATACTCAGAATTCATTCCAAATCAGTACCAAGAATGTGCAGAACCATTAATCAGAATCATTACTGTAACAATACTTACAATTCATTCCAAATCAGTACCAAGAATGTGCAGAACCATTAATCAGAATCATTACCGAAACAATACTCAGAATTCATTCCAAATCAGTACCAAGAATGTGCAGAACCATTAATCAGAATCATTACTGTAACAATACTTACAATTCATTCCAAATCAGTACCAAGAATGTACAGAACCAAAACTATTAGAATCATGTCAGAATGGTTTAACGGTTAGGTTTTGGTCCATCTATTAGAAAGGAGTCTAGGTCTAGGATATTTTACAGTATATTCTAGATAGCAGTCTAGGTCTAGGATATTTTACAGTATATTCTATAGGTTTCAGTGTTCCTTTTATTCAAGATTTATGTCCTTACAAAGGAAAATATTAACCAGAACCAAATAGGGGAAGATTTGTTATAAACTACTAGTTTGACAATTATTTACTTAAAGGAACTATTGTTGAAATTTCCAGTGACCTTCCATATAAAGAGGCGTAAGCCCCATTCACAACGGTACCCGTGACATCTTTATTTGCTTGGAAAAGTGTTTAACTCTGATAATTTCTGAAGCAAGAAATGCACAAGTAACTTTTGCAGGGAAACTGCAGCAATGAAAATAGTAATTTTCCAAAATTTATAATTGTTCAGACAAAGCTTTTAAAGGATAACGTTGTGAATCAGACATGGCACTCTTCAAACTACGTTTACAGACTCTTTAATAAAAATTATAAGGTGTCAAACATTTTTTAACCATTTGGATAATTTGGAGAGACAAAAAATATTTAGATAGAATAAATTATTTTGACTAACCTGAGGGCAAACTGGTCCCAAATTAGTTGCGGCAAGGACTCCATTCCAGTGAGTTGGGGGTCGGGTCGGAGCAAACCTAGAAATAGTTTAGAAACTGAAATATTGGAAGAAAGAGGGGACAGAGTGTTGGAAGTGGTAGAGGACAGGGTCCTGGAAGGGGAGAGGGACAGGGTGTTAGAGGAGGGAGGGGATAGGGTTTTGGAAGGGAGAGTGGACCTGGCTGTTGGAAAGGACAGGGGGTAGGGTGTTGGAAGGAAGAGGGGGTAGAGTGTTAAAAGGGGGAGGGGACAGGGTGTTGTAATGANTGCAACCTTGCAGCCATTCAAAATATGGTTTGTAGTTTCTTGTCTTCTACCTTGCAATTCAGCGCCTGCCTGTAGACATAGTTTACAGAGATCTGATGCAGATTTTCCCCATTGTAGAAGGTTAGTTTGTGTTGGCAGGGTGTCCAAACAGGAGTTGAGTAGGAATTTCAGTGTACCTTTCTTCAGATTGAACATGTAAGATTTCCAGATCATGTCAGATTTTTCAAGCATTGCCAGGCAGAGAAAATGTCCTTGTTTTATGAGTGTTTCTGTATGTTCTCTCCAGAAAGTTTCGTTTTCAAAAGATACTTTTTCACTGACAGTTGTTTTCATTTTTTTATAGCATTGATGTTTGGAAGCTTGGTCTTCCCACTCAGGCATTTCTGCTTGACCATAGTTCTCTAATGTGGCTTGTTGAAACATTTTTTCTGCATAGTCTGTGATGGAATTTTTGCGGTGCCAATTTTTTTCCCTGTCTAATTTAGATTGTAAGGCAGAGTTAACTGTTTCATCACCCAGTATTCTTATCCTAGTGTATGCTTGCGTCATAGTTGTTTTGTACAGGGTGGATATTTATATATATTTAAAATGCAATATGATGTAATAAATAATACTAACAAAAATGGTTGAACTGAATATGTAGTATTGTGGACAAAATTTTAAGGATTCACTTAAGAGACATATAAGGTGCTTCTATGACGTATATTTACTGAGTTTGAGCGCAAAGTCGACGTTTAAAATCATGAATTCGGGTGGGTATGTTTTCAGAATCGTTTTTTTAATTTTTAAATAACAACGACAAAAAATGTAATGAAATTCTACTGTAACCTAATTAGTTGTTCAGGGCAACTTTAACAATCTACAAATTTGAAATATTTTTTTAACAAAATTTGATCCCAAAAATTTTAATTTTAACCAAGAATTTAATATTTGGTTTTCTCAAGATTTAATAACAAAGAATTAAATATAAAGATTACAAAGAGTAAAATATGTGCATTGTACACAACCATCTGTTCTTAATTCTCCCACCCTATCTAATCTGCTAATAAAATAAGCCTTTAATATCAATCATGTTTGATAGTAAATTACATATTAGGATGTGATTGGCAATTTCTATGAAATTAAATCTAAGCAATGCCAAAGAACACAAATGTATATATATTATATAAACAAACTTAGGTAGATAGAAAGATACTTGGNTATATATATAAATCAAAAAACTAAATTTTTTTGAAAAACCGCACTTCTACATATCACTACAGTTTCAGTATAAGTAAGTATTTCCATTTACTGATGGCGCCGATTAAAAGGATTCATATCTCTAATTGGATAGAAAGATAGATGTTACCGCCATGGACATTATCTATTGGTTCAGAAAATACAAAAAAAAACATGACTAAACCCGGATTGGATCAGGTGCTAATGGACCGGCATACAGGATTGATATGTAGCTATGTGCATTTTTTTGTCTTGAAAGATGTCTTTTAAGATCTTAAACATTATGCAACAAAGTGATAAACGCAATCTTTTAGAGCATAGTCTCCACTCACACTTGTTTACCTATTCCATTAGCGCCTGATCCAATCAGGGGGTTCAGTCATGTGTTTGGTGTATATTCTGAACCAATAGAAATTGCATGACGGTAACATCTATCTTTCTATCTATCTCATTATCCAATTAGAGATGAATCCTTAGATCGGGACTAAGCAGTAAATGGAAATATTTACTTCTACTGAAACTGAAGTGCACTAGATAGAAAAGGAAATTCAAATCTATGAGAAGTAGATTTTTGGGTTACATAAAGAACGAAGGAATTGAGTCTTTGTCCCAAACTCTGACTTCCCAATCTTTATATCTTTAGAACTCAATGTCGTGGACCTTAAATATTTCAAACTATGTATTCTGTTAGATCAAATAATCTAAATTTGAAATATCAAGTGTTTACACCATCAGGTTTACAAGATATAGGGATTGGAAAATTTGAGTTTGTAGCAAAGGCTTAGTTCCTTAAAACATTTTGTTCTTATCAATTACATTTTGATGTGAGGAGATGTAATTGACACATGTCATATCTTGATGTGAGGAGTTGTGATTGACACAATGACACATGTCATATCTTGATGTGAGGAGTTGTGATTGACACATGTCATATCTTGATGTGAGGAGTTGTGATTGACACAATGACACATGTCATATCTTGATACGAGGAGTTATGATTGACACATGTCATATCTTGATGTAAGGAGTTGTGATTGCCACATGTCGTATTTTGATGTGAGGAGTTGTGATTGACACATGTCACATTTTGATGTGAGGAGTTGTGATTGATACATGTTATATTTTGATGTGAGGAGTTGTGATTGACACATGTCATATTTTGATGTGAGGAGTTGTAATTGACACATGTCATATTTTGATGTGAAGAGTTGTAATTGACACATGTCACATTTAACTTAACGTTAAAAGTAAAAGTACCATGAACTGTTTTTTAAAAGATATGTTTTTTTTTAAAAATATTGTTACGTTGCTTTAAAAGCTCATAAATATTTGAATCCAATATGAACGACTAATTTATCTTGAAGAAACATATCTAAATTAAAATTTTATTATTGCAATTAATGCAAATATGTAAATATTATATATGGTACAATATATGATATATATGCAAATATAGATTCAGTTTTCATTTCTATAATATTCTTAAATGCATTGTTCCCCCTTGCATTATACTGCAATACAGGTCGAACATTATTAGATTATTATTAAGGGAGGGGGAGAGGTTTTTATTAAGGGGGAGTTTTTATTAAAGGGGGAGAAGTTGTTTTAAGGGGGGGGACAGACATTTTTTATTAAGGGGAGGAGAAGTTTTTATTAAGGGGGGTGGGTGGTTATAAAGGGGAGAAGTTTTTTAAGGTGGGGTAGAGAAGTTTTTTACTAAGGGGGGGGGGGGAAGTTTTTATTAAAGGGGAGAAGTTTTTTAAGGTGGGGGACAGAATTTTTTTTTATTAAGGGGGGGGGGAGAAGTTTTTATTAAGGGGGGGAGTTTTTGTTAAAACATGGTTAAACTTTTTTTATTATTAGGAAAATTACAGAAAAATGTAGATCTAAATATAATCAATACTTTAAATCTGAGAATTGAGAATGTTTCATATTTATTCTATATCGCTTATAAAATCCGCTATCCATCTTTTCCCGAAACATTGTTTTTTTAAGCCGTACTTTGATATGAAGTGCGAGTTTGATTTTTAATCTAATTTTAATCATAAAGATACACATTAGTTGACACTTAAATATTCATTTTTGTATTTATTATTAATTCTAATATTTACATACTTTTTGTATATCAAGTTTAGATCCATTTACAGGGTTATTACTTTGGGATTTTCCCTCCCAACTTTTTGAAACACCCCAACAAAATTGAAAAGCGATTTGTCAAAGAAACTGATTATTTGCCTCTATTCCTTTTTTTTAATCCCTCTATCTTTGCAACTTGTCGGTGTAAACCTTTAATATTTAAATCTTTGACTTTTTGATCTGTAAGATTTCACAGTTTGACATCAGTGGTGGGAACTGTGTACTGTTGTATTATGGATATCTAGATTAATGCTTGATCGCGATATTTTGTTAATTTACAGATTAGTTTAATCTTTATTCAATATCCTGTAAAGATAACTAAATTTACAGTTCTAAACTGCAGCATTCCTTCTGCAATGCTACAAGGGTACAGTTTAAAATTGGAATACATTCTGCGTAACATTCAAAAGGGCCCATGATGTGGATATCGAAATCAAGCCATCGGGATCATGATGTGGATATCGAAATCAAGCGATCGGGATCATGATGTGGATTTCGATCGGGATCATGAATTTCCAAAACAAAAGTTCTCGGCTCAGGTTACAAAGGTATGAAATTGAGGCAGATAAGAGGAAATTATTTTAAAAATCACTCTAACTATATTTATTATATAGCAGAAAAATATGAAACTTATGATAAAATATATTTAAATATAAAACTAACCTATAGTTTCCAGTTGGTGCACTGGCGTATGGTAATCCAAGGAATATTTGAACATATTTATTGATGGTCGCGTCCCGTCCTACTTTAGTTATAAATCCTTGAACCTTTCCATACTTGGTCTGTATACTTCTAGACCGGAGATCATCTGGAACCAAATCCGTCCCAGACAGTTCTACCAGGACCAGGAGACCTTAATACATAGTTCGTCAGCCACAGATAGAAATTAATGAATAACGAAAAATAGTTGAGCCGCGTAGACGTAGTTGACCAACTTCTCTTCAATTTGAACCTGAGCACAAGAGAAGTTGAACTACGTCTACGTGGTTCAACTACTTCTTCCTATAAGTTAAGTAATTTCAAGTCCCTCTCCATTAAATAAGTGACATACCTGATTCACAACAGCACCTTCAATTGTTTTCCTTTATTCAAATTTTAATAATTTTAGAAATTACGGCCTTACTGGTGAATTCATGCAAAAAAGCAATAAACTTTAGCTCTTCAAGATTTTAATATTTCTATATGTAGGTTTAAAAGGTACTGTGGTGAATCGTGAATATAACCCTCTTATATCCCTATCAGTACTTCTTTATCTACAGAAGAAGGATTAATTAAATACATTTTTCTTTCCCAACTCTATCAACTTTGTTACAGTGTGAGGTATAAAAGAGAAGGAGCTAAGACAAGAAAATAAAGCTTGCTCTCTTGAATTAATGAAATGATGGTTTTAACCTAAAATATTTATATTTTCTTTTTCATTAGATGTAAACAAAGGAGGTATACGTGTATAAAAGCGAACGCTCGTAAATTCATTAATTGAAAAAGTTTCATCTATTCAAATTACCTATTCGTGGGTTTTTAATTTAAAGGGATAGTAAGCATAATTTCAATTGACCCTCCATGCAAAGATGATAATGCTCGAATCACAACGGTACCCTTGAAACCTTTATGTCATCAAAAATGTGGAAGATATGTTCTATATGTTTTAATCCTGATCTAGTATAGTAGAAATGCGCAAGTTAGTTTTGTATAGATAAAACACAATTGAAAATAATCAGTTTTTTAATTATTTACATGAATATCATAATTCATAATTTATCAGACAAAGCTTTTTTGGGTACCCTTGTGTAAAGGTTATTCCCATCTTTGCACGAAGCGTCACATGAAACTACCCGAACAGTCCCTTTAAATCAATCAGATTTTACCAATAACTCCTTACAAACTAAATGTAAAAACAAGTGTTTTATAATTTTAAAATGTACATGTCTAGATCTATAGAAAATGTATGATTGAATTGACGAGGTGAAATCAATAGCCAATGCGACACTAAAAAGTCGTTCTGGTCTGGGAAAATTAATTCGACTACTCGTAGAAGCTATATATGATACTTATCAATACTTACTTTGCACAATTTGTAATCTTATCCTTCATTAATCTGAAGAGCGCTTTATAAAAATGTACTGGAGGAAAGTTTACTAACCTAAATATATTACACTGAGCTTCATGATTTTAAAGAGTGATTTTGTCAGGATTCACGGTTACGATATCATTTATACACATGGTTACTTATAGGAAGAGATTTATTCAAGTCTTTGCTCTTCTATTGATGAAGATTATTGTTCAATTTTGCTCTTGGTTCTTTGAATATCTTGTCCTAATTCATCTATTGTTCAACTTTGCTCTAGGTTCTTGGAATATTTTGTCCTAGTTCATCTCTTGTTCAACTTTGCTCTGGGTTCTTGGAATTGTTCAACTTTGCTCTAGGTTCTTGGAATATCTTGTCCTAGTTCATCTCTTGTTAAACTTTGCTCTAGGTTCTTGGAATATCTTGTCCTAGTTCATCTCTTGTTCAACTTTGCTCTGGGTTCTTGGAATGTCTTGTCCTAGTTCATCTCTTGTTCAACTTTGCTCTAGGTTCTTGGAATATCTTGTCCTAGTTCATCTCTTGTTCAACTTTGCTCTGGGTTCTTGAAATGTCTTGCCGATCTTGGAACTTATTTTGCTCTTCACCTGAATTCCTTTGCTTTACTTTGTTTACATTCATTTGTCTCTTAAATCTCACTTTGTTCCGTGTTTATTTTGTAAAAATTAACTCTGTTATGAGTTTCTAACGTTCACTGTGCTCAGAGTGCACGTTCATAATAGATCCAGTTCCTTCAATGCATAGATTTGGAACCAGAATTCAATTTGTGTTTTTCTGCATCCTAAACATTTATTCCTGTTTTCCTTTATCCTCTATTCAACCCTGGTGCTAGAAATAAATCTTTACTCTTTCAATAAAGATGAAATAAAACCTTGTGTTTGAATATTCCCCATGAGCGGACTGGAATACTAATCTATTCTTGGTAAGAAATGAGAAAAAAGTTGAAAGTCTACATTGATATAAAGAGGATGGGACAGTTCGGTTGCAAAGATAGGAGTATATTGAGTATTAAAAGAAAGAAAAAGAAAAAGTCAATTTTACAATCTCAAATCTTTCAAGATATATTACGGAGTCCTTAGCTTTAAAGAAGTGCAATGGCAAAATCAATGAGATTAAAAATGGGATCAGGATCAGAAATAGAAAAATAAAATACAAGGACACAGAAGCAGTAACTGAAAATGAACAGGAGGAAGAACAGGAACAGGAGCAGGAGCAGGAACAGGAACAAGAACAGGAATTGGAATAGGAACATGGATAGGAACAGGAGCAGGAATATGGAATGGAACACAAACAAGAACAGGAACAGGGATAGAAACAGGGTTATGAACAGGATTAGGAATAGGAGCAGGAATAGGAACAGTAACAGGGTTAGGAACAGGAACAGGGAAAGGAACAGGAACAAGGAACGAACAGGAACAAAAACATGAACAGTAACAGGGATAGTAACAGGGATAGGGACAGGGATATGAAGAGGGATAGGAACAGGAATAGGAACAGGGATAGGAACAGGGATAAAAACATGGATAGGAATAGGGATAAGAACAGTAACAGGAATAGGGATAGGAACAGAAACAGGAACAGGAACAGAAACAGGAACAGGATTAGAAAACACGAACAGGGAACATAAACAGAAATAAGAACAGTAACAGGAAAGAAACAGGAATAGGAACAGGAACAGGGACAAGAATGGTACAGGAACAGAAATAAAAAACGGGAATTGGAATAGGAACAGGAACTTAAACAAATACAGGGAAAGGAACATGAAAAGGATCTGGATTATAACCTGGAACAGGAACAGGAACATAACCATAAACAGAAAGAAAAACGGGAACAGGGGAGGAACAGGAACAGAAACAAAAACAGGGAATGGAATAAAAATATGAACAGAATCTGGGTTAGGATCAAGATAAGAAACAAAAACAAAGAAAGAAACAGAAACAGGAATAGCAACAGCAATAGAGACAAGGACAAGAAAAGGTAACAGAGACAAGAAAATATACAGAGAAGGTAAGAGAAACAGGAACAGATTCTGGAACTAGGACAGGAAAAAATTCCTAATTTGTACACTTGCAAAGAAGCTGAGACATTTTCTCTGAAATAGAAAATTATTAGATAAATGAAAGTCTAGTTTCTATAGTTTCTAATATTTTAAACTGCAGCAGGTTCAATTCAATACTGCAGTATATATTAATTCATTCATAATTCATTAATACATTACTCTCTCAATCCATAGTTCATTAATCCATTAATCCCTCCATCCATAGTTTATTATTCTATCAATCTCTGCTCCATCCATCAATAATGCATTAATCAATTAATCCCTCCATCCATAGTTTATTATTCTATCAATCTCTGCTCCATCCATCAATAATGCATTAAATAATTAATCCCTCCATCCATAGTTTATTATTCTATCAATCTCTGCTCCATCCATCAATAATGCATTAATCAATTAATCCCTCCATCCATAATTCATTATTCAATCAATATCTTCATCCATAATTCATTAATCCATTAATCCCTCATCCATAGTTCATTATTCTATCAATCCCTCCATCCAAAATTCATTAATCTGTTAATTTTTTCATCCACAATTAAATAATCCATTAATCTGTCAATTCATAATTAATTTTTTCAAGTTCAGAAATTCTGACTTTTTTTCTTTTTTATTCATAAATCCTACACCTTTCCGTTAGTTTAATAATCTTTACATTCATGATTCATCTAATAATCTGTCCTTTCAATGAAAATAAATTAATTATTAAATATATTCCATTTATTCATTATCAATTTATCAATTCATTAATTTATTAAGATTTCCAACAGAAGAAACATAATTTGAAGAAACATACATTGTCACAAACTCAAATTTCCTTTGGTTTGCAAATTTTCTATATTAGTTTTTATATTTTAAACTTAGACTATTTGATCTAACAGAATTCATAGTTTGAAATATCACGGGTCTATAGACATAGGGTTGAGACGATATAGAAAAAAAAAATGGAGTTTAATGAAAATCTCAGTTTCTTTCTGCTTCAGATAAAAGTACGCTATGTTTTGTTTTTTTCAGTTTTCTATCTGATTGAAAATATTATAAATGTCTAAACAAAGTGAAGAATTACCCAAGAAGTTTTACTCAACATATATTTTCAAATCTAATCTTTTCCTTACTGGACTTTCGACGGAAGTTCGAGCAACTTTTTCCGATTAACAACGATACCCTTAAAACATTTGTCATAGCAAAAAAAATTAAGCTATAGTTGTTTTTCTTTATGAAAACTGCGGTTCCTCTTAATAAAAACATTAATGATTTATGTAATTTTGCATTTAAAGGGATGGCAACACTGTAATTAAGACTAAAATTAGGAAGGCTGATTGAGACAGCTATTTTGTACAAATAAAATTTTGTATTGTAAATGTAAAAAAAATTTAAGAAAAAGTTAGTAGATAGCTAACTTACTTAAAATAGAAATGGGTTTAGTTCGTCAATATTTCAAATCAAACCCAAAAATAGTTGTAGATTAAACTTCTTCTATGTAACTTCCACTTAACCACATTTGATTAAAATAAACTTTAGATTAAAACTTTAATGAATTTAAAGTTTTCAAAGTTTTTGGGAGTTTATTTTTAGTATCAAAGTATCTCTCAGTCCTACCATTTTCTTTAATTTTTATTTTGAATAGTCTAAAATCTTAAATATTCTCCAGAATCTGAAATATTCTCCAGAATCTGAAATATTCTCCTGAATCTAAAATATTCTCCAGAATCTGAAATATTCTCCAGAATCTGAAATAATCTCCAGAATCTGAAATATTCTCCAGAATCTGAAATATTCTCCAGAATCTGAAATATTCTTCAGAATCTGAAATATTCTCCAGAATCTGAAATATTCTCCAGAATCTGAAATATTCTCCAGAATCTGAAATATTCTCCAGAATGTGAAATATTCTCCAGAATCTGTAATATTCACCAGAATCTGAAATATTCTCCAAAATCTGAAATATTTTCCAGAATCTGAAATATTCTCCAGAATTTGAAATATTCTCCAGAATCTGAAATATTCTCCAGAATCTGAGAGACTTAGATATTTCAAATTTAAAGAGTTTGCTGGTTTAAATATATTCTGCATTAATTGAATGCGTTCAACCTCTGCTAGGTTTGGATTGGTTTGTATATTTAAGACACAGTTTACTAACATACTCCAACAAAACTTATCGGAATTTTGCCAACTACACCTACAAAACTTATCAGAATTTTGCCAACTACTCCTACAAATCGAAAGTTAGGAAATACGCTTTACAGTTAGAAGCCGTAGCAACGGAAAAGAGTGCATCGGTTTGAAACGTCAAACTAAAGAAAAGGGCGTGGTGACGCTTCTAAATTTGCCCGGTTTCAATATCTATGATGTAGATTGGTGTGACGAGAGGTTCAGATGGAAAACTTTTTCTTCAAATTTGATTTTTTCTATTTAGTTTTGTTTATTCTAAAATGATTGGTTTGATGTAGCTGTAATACAATGAAAATTTAAAAACAACTGCAATGGAAGCGGAAACAGAATTTCCTTGTTTTTAAACTCTTTTCCAGGAAAATATTCACCAAACCTCGTGTTCTTGGATACAGGGGGACCTTCACAATGAATGAAACTTCATGACGACCAAAAAATTGTTAAATATAGCTATCAGAAGGTTGAATTTGATTTGTATCATTAAATAAAGTCTTTGTTCCGGGGAACCATGACTTTAAATAAAGACTGAATAATTATGTAAGTCGTCTCTAAAGTGTGATCTTTAGTGGATAAACCTGTATCTAAACCTGTTATCTACTCTAAACCTGTATCTAAACCTGCTATCTACTCTAAACCTTTATCTAAACCTGTTATCTACTCTAAACCTGTATCTAAACCTGCTATCTACTCTAAACCTTTATCTAAACCTGTTATCTACTCTAAACCTTTATCTAGACCTGCTATCTACTCTAAACCTTTATCTAAACCTGTTATCTACTCTAAACCAGTATCTAAACCTGTTATCTACTCTAAAACTGTATCTTAACCTGATATCTATCTAAACCTGTATCTAAACCTGTTATCTACTCTAAACCTGTGTCTAAACCTGTTATCTACTCTAAACCTGTATCTAAACCTGTTATCTACTCTAAACCTGTATCTTAACCTGATATCTATCTAAACCTGTATCTAAACCTGTTATCTACTCTAAACCTGTGTCTAAACCTGTGTCTAAACCTGTTATCTACTCTAAACCTGTATCTAAACCTATTATCTACTCTAAACCTGTATCTAAAACTGTTATCTACTCTAAACCTGTACCTAAACCTGTTATCTACTCTAAACCTGTATCTAAACCTGTTATCTACTCTAAACCTGTATCTAAAACTGTTATCTACTCTAAACCTGTACCTAAACCTGTTATCTACTCCATACCTGTATCTAAACCTATTATCTACTCTAAATCTAAGGTGTACTTAGATGCACTTCTATGAGACGATGAGATAGTATAACATTAGGTTTAATCGCTAGGTAAATAAAAACAATTCTATAGACCGTTGTATACAGGGTTATTACAAAAGATAAGAATGTAAAGACGACCGGAAACTCTTGAACTTTGACAGTCCCCGGGCAAAGGAATTGAGTCTTTGCCACAAATCCCAATTTTCTATACCTATATTTCTAAAACCAAATGATGTAAGCCTTTGATATTTCAAACTTATATTCTTTGATGTAAAAGAAGTCATAGCTTGAAATATCTAAGGTCTATCATTGGGTTGTTAAGATATAGGATTTAAAATTCAAAGTTTGTGGCAAAAACTTTATGTATTCTGCCTTAGATATGGTAATCTAATGGCTTATTTAATAATTTGGAAAAGAAACAAATCAGTTTACGATTGCAGGGAATCGTGAATATAAGGAAATAGACAGTATAAATTTCGTACAGTCGTCTCTGAAGTCTTATCCTTATATGCTAACCCTGTATAGGGATACCTAAAGATAATCTTATGTAAAGGTTTTTTAAACCAGAGGATAGATCTGTAAATACTTCAAGTGAATATTTAAATATTAGATAATTGATTTACAGTACAGTGTACGTACACTATTCAGGGGTTTACACCTGAAGTCTAATATTTGTTTAGCATTAAAGTTTGATCTAAGACAGTTTTACGAAATTGCTTTTGTATTTTCAGGTTGAAAATGTTAGAGTGACAGAGTTTGAAACGAAATGAACACGTGCCTCAAAATCTAATTTTCTAATTCCTCTATTTTGCAATTTAAACTATGACTCAAGGTAAACATATCAATAGTGAAATCTCAAAATGTCCAAAGAATATATTTAATTTATTAATTGGTAAATACCCTATTCATAAAGTATGTCAGATTTGAAGGGACTAGAAAATAAATTATTGAGACATAGTTATTGTGTGTTTAAAGGAATTGAGTCTTTGCCACAAAATCAAAATTACTAATCTTTATAGCTTTGCAACTAAATGGTGTAAATATTTGATATTTGAAACTTAGATTATTTTATCTAGTAGAATTCATAGTTTGAAATATCTAAGGTCTTCCACTTTGGGTTGCAAAGATATATGGATAAGAAAATCTGAGTTTGTGGCAAAAACTCAATTCCTTTAAATGGTTAATTTGTTAAAGCCAGTAGTAAATCTAATATTTTTTAATTCACATTTGCTCCAACTTGCAAAGCAAAACATTATTTTTTAAGAGAGAGAAAACTAATTTAAAAAGTTTTATTTGTTTAGAATGCAAATAATATTATTGGTTCATTTGCAACAAAAACATGAACCTTTTATACTGTATTCACACAGGTTGTTAAAATCAATTTTTTATTGTAACTCACTTCTTATTTACTATACCTAATCTCTGAACTGTAACCTATCACTTATTACTGTAACTAATCACTCATAAACTGTACCTAATCTCTTATTAATTGTATCTAATCTCTTATTTACTGGAAATAATCTCTTTTTTACTACAACTAATCTATTATTTATGTAACAAATCTCTTATTTACTGTAACTTATCTTTTATTTACTGCAAGTAATCTCTTACTTACTGTAAGTAGTCTCTTATTTACCGTAACTAATCCACTGTAACTAATCTAAAAGATTATGTAACTAATCTCTTATGAACTGTAACAGATCTCTTACTTGCTGTAACTACTCTCTTATTTACTGCAATAACTAATCCGTTACATACTGTAACTAATCTCTTATCTGATTAATACTCTGCCTGATGAAATATCATTATTTTCTAATGTTTTGTTCTATTGTTCAGGATTTGTAATCAACACATTTCCAAGATTATTGTAAGACTTATCTTTTATCAATCTAAATGCTTTTTTCTTTTCAATTTTTTTTGTGAAAAAAACCATGAAGTTTGTTTTAAACTCTAAACCTATATACATATATATATATATATATATCAGGGATTACCGGGGGGGCTTTGTGAAACCAGCTTTAAGCTATATAAACTCTCCTGCTGGAATAGTTTTATATATATTTACTTTGCTTATATGTTTTGTTAATAATTATTACTGTAAAAAAATATTTAATTTGATTTTATCTAACTTGAAAACGTAGGTTTTGTGTAAGAACCTGTGTCATGTATCTATGTCTGAAATTTGCTTAAGTTTCAAACAAGTTTTTTCATTTAAATATTTTAAAATTTTATTCCCCCCCTCCCTCCTAGATTTATTTTTCCAACTAAATTTTTTTAATGCCGTTGTCAAAGTACCCTCTAATGAAAAAGTTTATAATCGTATTTTTATTTACAACTAATGCTTAAGTTTTCTTAAGTACTCATTTAATCAACTTTAAACAGAAAAAGTTCATGTTTATCCAGCACTAATGCAGACTTCAGGGGTTTGTGTGGGACCTGGATGGCCCCAGGGGTGGTTTATGTCTGACCAGAATTTAAAAAATGTCAAATGGTTTCGCAAAATTGCAAGATTAACAAAAATGTGTGCAGGGTAAGTCATAAAAAGTTTGATATAAAGCTCCAAATATATTTTTAGCTGAAATATTTGTTTATTTTATTCAAATTTGGAATAAAATAATAAAAAAGATATTAAAACAGTCCATCTAAGTGCAGATTATAAGAATGATAATTAAAAAATAAAAATTAAAGTAACTGATTTTTTGCTACAAACTCTGATTTTCTACTCCCTTTATTTTTGCAACTTTAGATATTTTAAATTAAGAATTCTGTCAGATCAATTATCTAAGTTTGAAATATCAAATGTTTTCATCAAAAGGTTGTAATTAGGTGTAAGCATTGAAATTTTTGATAGTTCATTTATGCAAAGTATAAAAATATAATATATTAGTGGTTCACTAGAGTAATCGAGTGTATTTGTAAATTATGAATAATTCTGAAATATTTAAATATATGGCTTTAATGTTTTTTAAACAACGCAAAAGAGTAAATTCTAACGATAAGTTATTCTAACTGGCCTATAAAAAATCTAACAAAACGGGAATTCTTTACTGAACTTTAAAAAAACACGAAGTTTATATTACTTGAAAAAAAAACACTAATCCTAACTGAACTGAAAAAACGGTATTTATAACTGATTTGAAAAAGAAACACTAATCTAACTGAACTATTAAAAACAGGAACTATTGCTTACTTAAAAATAAACACCGATTATAACTGAACTGAAGTTAAACAGTTGAATCTCATTTTCTGTTAAAAAATATAGATTTTTTTCGTTAATAATTAATTATGTCTTGTAGTTTCATTAAATACTGGTTAAGATTTGAAACTTTCTTAAAATGAATGTAGTCAATCGTAATTTCACACTTGTACCTTTCAAAGCTTTATCGGGTCAAGAATAAAGTCAAAACATCCTGCTTAAAAAAAATCATTTTCAATTGCGGTTTCTTTTCTGAATTGACATGCGTATTTCAGCTGCAAATGCAAATACAGTCCTTTTTCAATTTTTTTCTCACTTTTTAACTTTTTCAATGCCTATTTGTTTTACTACTTAAATTGACTGCATTAAATCACTATTAAATCCTTAATGGGAATTTTAAATTTGTAGTATATTGTTGGTCAAAAATGTGCAAAATTCCTGAATTATTTTTGCAAATCTATTTGATTAATTAATTCCCGAAGGTTGGCAATTGTTTGAACTGTGTATTTGAGGGTCGGAGTGTTGCAAAGTTTAATAAAGTTTTGACATTGATCATATCAGGGGGAATTTAATCATCCCAGGGATATTCAAACTTTAATTCATGTTAATTATTAATAAGTGAAAAAGAGTTTAGGGATTGAGACGTCACTGACTTTAGAGGCGAGAGTGATGTCTATCTATCTTAGGAGACGACATTTTCCGTTCATTGGAGCGCATCCAGATTCCAGAGTAACAAACCTAATAAAAGAACCTTGCTTATCGACAGAACTATCATCAATCTGGCTGTTTACATGCTCAAGTGGTAGGATTTTGTTCCTAATTTCAAAAATGTGTAATTTCACAAAGATGAACAATACTTTTAATGAGTTTTTACAGTGCAGAGAAAATTAAATACACTTTTTGCAAGATTTATAGTTTCTCCTACTCAATTCTTACAAGAACTGCGAACTTCAAGAATGTGAAGGGACTGTGAAATAAATTTACCAGTTGGACAATTTGACATAAAAAGGCGAGTTTGTCATTCAACCATAGAAGATAAAAAATTGCGAGAAAAAAATAAAAAAAATAAACCAATTACTCAAAATATTATCTTTTTACAGATATTTCTACATTGAGAACCAGAAAACTCTGGAGTAAGAAGACGACTTTTAAACGCAAATTATTTCCTAAAATAGTCCAATGAACATGAGACAAATCAATTGTGCAGTGTTACCAGATCAAATTTACTAAACAAATGAGTTAATAAGTCTCCAGTTAAACTATTTGCTTTGTAACTTCATGAAATGCACTGAAGTTTCGCTGTAAAGTCGTCTTTCTATGATAACAGAAAGATATTCCCCCCCATCCTCTTCCAAACGTTACGCTTCCCCTTACATTTTTAAAATTTT